ACATTGAATAAAGTTATAATATTTAGTAACAATTGGAGCAGTTGTTACCACTTTTTGGTTACCTGTTCCATCCTACCAAGCTCAAGAATTAGGTATTTTAACACATTTTCTAGGTTATCCCAATATGTGTTCAAATTCAGAGACTGCTGCTACGTTACATCAATCATTAACCTCATGTCTTAGCGGTTAATTGAGCCATGCTCTTAAAAATGGCTGTAACTGACCGTTCGAGAGTTGCCCATTGTATGTGTAAGGAATTTACAGAAGCCAGTAAAGACTCTTCCAAAGGTCAGGACAGTGAAACACAGACAAAGCTATACAATTAATTTTAATGTAGCCTCCGGTTCCTTGTGGAAGGTGCTGGATGACTCTTAGGACCTTGGATCCTCTCCCGCAGTTGAGGACTGTCACATCTCCTAATTCCTGGGCTTCTTTTTGTTTTCTTCCTCAATTACCTTTTAACCTAACTCTCTAATATTAACCACACTTCCCTAAACCGCAATTCTGATTTTGATCTTAAACTGGTGCAGTGGTAATAGCTCTTTCTTTTCTGCTATGGCGAAATCCAGCGTGATCTAACCCATGAGCAGGTGAAACTCAAAATTCACAGTAGATTCAGGAGGTGGCCATGCTGCCTCAGAGCCACCATCCTAAACCAAGCTTCCCTCAGTTTACTGGGCTTTTGCAGTACTCCTCTGAAATAGTCCTCCTGTTCCCACATGGTTAGGTTTTTTATAAAAGTATAAATTAAATCTTACTATTATTTAATTCATTTGTTCCCTATAGAATAAAATTCAAGCTTTGCACCAAAACTGGTCCAGCCTGTGTCCACCTCTGCCCTCCTCCAGGCACCCTGTTCTTCTGTTTGTTTCCACTTATCTTTAAACAAGTGAAGCAGAAGTTGTATCCAGCAATTGTGTTCACAATGCACTTGCAAGGAAGCAATCAGATTACACTGTCATCTTCAAAGAACTCTAGGGAAATGTAATCTCTGCCAAAGAAGACATATGCTCACCTTCATCTCTATTTGCATAAAGGAAGGACAGAATGGAATCTGGTGGACAATTAGCAACCTCCAGTACGATGCTTGCTCCAGTCAACCAACTATTTACATGCAGATTTCTTACCACAAGGAGAACACACTCATTCCCTTTCCAAGAGAGATAATCCAAATTCTGATTTGGCTGTTCTATCCAGCTCAGAGTTCAGGATCACTGGTTGAAGTACAAGACTTCTTTCAGCAGAATAATCAATATGTTATCCCCTGCCCATCCCCGGCCTCCAAACAGCAGCAAAGTAGGAACATAAGAATTACAGTTTTAAATAGGAAAGCATGAGAAACACAATGGAGAAAATGATCTAGAGGAATTACCAGTATACAGGACAGTCTTTTAATCAGCTCACCAATGAGTAGACTGGGTCCCTGATTGGCCTTTCTGAGAAAACTCCTTCTCTCCACTGATGTTAACGTCTGGAAGCTTATTTCTTGCCTCTTACACCATGGCAACTCTTAGGTATACCTTGGCGAGCATATATTCTTTGAGAATTGTTTCATGTCGCATGAGTTTTCTTTCACAGGGTACCATATTTTTTGGCTTATAATCAATTTCATGTCTATTTTTTAATTTTACTCTTAAGCACATTTGTTTCATAATTTCTACACCTTCTCATCCATCTCACATTATCTTTCTAGAAATTTCTAACTCCATCGCTTGGAGGGACAGGCTTAGTGGGAAATATTTCTTGCAAATGATCAAATACAGTACTGCAGTCAAGTTTTCAGCAGATGCACGTAGATAAACATCTTTCCAATCTACTGTCTTACTCTTTTGTGTATCGCTCGATCTTTTCCTTTTTTTTTCTATTTTTATTTTTTTAGTACATGTTTGCAGTACATAATGACCATATTCCTCATAGGGATTTAGGATAAGTACATAACACATCTCAATTCTTTTTTTTTTTTTTTTTTCTCTTCAAGCCCTCTTCTCCTTTATTCTCCCTCCGTGGCTTGATTCCTTTCTTGCTTGAGAAGGATTTCTCTGTTTCCCATCATTTATCTTTTATTTTTTTCTTTATTTATATTTACATTTCTCATATAAGAGAAACCATTCAATGTTTAAGCCTGTACATCTGACTCATTTCACTGAATATTATGGTCTCAAGTTTTCCCATTTTATGACAAATAACTCAAACTCATCATTCTTTATGGCAAAGTAGCACTCCATTATGTAGAAGTATCACATTTTCTTTAATCATTCATCTGTTGATGGACATATAGGTTCTTTCAAGATTTAGCTATTATGAATTATGCTGGTACAGTGATATATATATATCACTATAATATGATGTCCTTAACTTTTTTAGGAAGATACCTAGAAGGAGAATGCCATAGTTACTTTTCTCTCATTGCTGGGACAAAATACCAGATACCCAAAATTAAGGAAGGGAAGGTTTATTTAGCTCACAGTTTATGGAGGTCTCAGTCCATAATCAGCTGGTTCCAAGGCAGGGTGGCACGGCACAGGGGCAACTCTTCAAGGTGGGGACCAGCAAAAGCAGCAAGAGCAAAAGTGGGGGAAGAATAAACCTCTTCTCCTCCCCTATATTGTAAGCAGGCCACCCCCATCCTCCAAGCGCAGGTATAGCACACACACTACCTCTGTGCCCTCTTCTTTCACAGGCTGAGGATGTTTACAAAGTAAGGAACCTGGCTCCCTTCTGAGTCTCTTTGTTAAATTTTTAAGCTTCTCAGGTTGACACAATGTATTAACCATCACAGGGAATAACTGAATAGAATAGAATTTCTAATTTCAGTTTTTTGAGGAATCTGATTTCCACAGTGGTGGTACTAGTTTATATTCCCCCAAAAATGTATATTTCTTTTTTTCCTGAAGCCTCTCCAGGATTGTTGTTACTATTTGATTTCTCAATGATAGTCATTTTTTCTGGAGTACAATGGGATCTCAGTGTTGTCCTAATTTGCATTTCACTAGTGATCAAAGATGGTGAACATTTCTTCATGTATTTGTTGGCCACTGGTACTTTTGCTAAGAAGTGTCTGTTTATTTCAGTTCATGTTTTGACTGAATCTTTTCTTCTTAGGGAGACTTTGTTTTGTTCTTTATGTATTCTGGATACTATTCCTCTGAGAAATAACTGGCAAAACTTTTTCTCATTCTGTAGATTGTCTCTTCACTCTGTTGTTTTGCTGTGCTGAAGGGTCTTAATCTAGTATAATCCCATTTACTGTTTCTTGATGTTACTTCTTGGAGCAATTGGGAATTCTGTTTGGAGAGTCTTAATCTGTGCCTATGGCTTCAAGAGTTTCACATATTTCGTCTTCGACCTATTTTATCTTGTTAACTCTTGTAGACTGCAGTTTTCTCATTAGTATACAAGTTATTTCAAGGAACATATATCTCAGCATATAAGAAGACAACAGTGACAGTATATTTACCATGAGCAATTACAGTCATACTGCAGGCAAATCATATTGCATTGAAACTAGCACATGTCAAACATCGACTAGAGGTCTACGGTAAGTGGCCAGTTTCATATTAACTCAGCTGTGTTTCAACATTTTCTTTGCTTTGTTCACAATGAGGGATATCTATTGGTCTGTTTTGCCAGTCAACACACGTGAGAATTTATGATCACTTTTCTTTTTAAGAATTTCCTGGAACAGTGCAAACCGATACCATGATGTCCCCATGGATCACAGAGAAAAGCAAAACTAGAACACATATTAAAAAATAAAAACAGTGCTTAGCAGTAGGAGGCCCTGGGTTCAGTTCTCAGTGCTAGACAACAAGATTAACAATAATGAAGAAATATGAAAAAAATAATCTAATCCAGGTTTCCTTACCAAAGTCTTCAACTTGTTTGTGAAACAAAACCATCTCCAAAGGTCAATTCATTTGCCTAACATTGTGAAACACTGTACTGTACTAGTACATCATTAAAATACTCTTGCAGCGTAGACCAGGATGAATAATAATGCATCAATTAAAATATTTTATATTTTTTAATCATTGAGGAATTATCACCAGCTCCGTTTTACTTTTAATTTTTTTTTTTGTCTTACATTTTTGGTTGCACAATGACCCCATGCTGTAACTTCTAAATATGACTCATAGGCATAAGTGCACAGAACAAAACAGCAGAATTACCATCCACGCACCCTCTTGCTTTCACCAAAGGGATTAACAATGCTTTGTTTAAACAAGTTTCCTTTTCCGTGGTGAAAGACTGTCTTTTCAGCTTAATGAGTCAGCCCTGCCAGAATGAGGGAGTAAATACATGTGGATAATGCAGGCTTTGTCTTATTTCTTTGAGAACAGAAAAGACAACCTATGCTGGTTAGTTAACTACATTTTTGATTAGGTGAGGCATTTAGTGGTCAAATGAATACAAATTTCTTCAAATTACATTTGCTGGTCTATATCCTAGTTCCGTATACAGTCTTATTCCGGTGAATCCTATCTAACAAAATGTTAAGTCTGGAGAGATACACAGACCTATAGTAATTAGGACATGTCAGTTTGTAAGTAAGTTGTATAAAAATTAAGTAGCACCTTTTTAAAATAATTGAACCTGTTATTTTTGAAAGAGATTTGATTTTTAAAAGTTTTACTTATATTTGATTTAATAATTTTTTCTATCAGAATCTTTAAAACAATTGGCAAAAAGATTAATAAAGACATAAAAGGCATCTGAGTTGTTAAATAGTTGTCATAAAATCACCAACCTTGAAGCTTGTTATAATTTATGTTTTAAGCTTCCTTTTTTATTCTTTCTTGGAAATTGTTTACTTTTGTTTTGCACTCTTAAAAAGTTTTTTCAATTCACTTTTTAATCCAATGATGATTGGAAATAGCCAAACGGGACTGGGAATTTGCTACACTGCATATAAATCAAACAATGATTATTCATAATATTGACCTTGAGTCATTAACAAATGGAGAAATGACATTCAGAAGAAAAAGTTCAATGTACCCTTTGTTTTATTTTGTTTTGTTTTGAGATTTTGTACAATATTTTAAATTATAATTTCTGATTTCTGTCTGAAAACCGAGCCCAGCTGAAACCTGTTCCTTTCATACACTTTATCCTTGTAGATTAAATAATTATCTGTTGCAAAACCAGGTGTGGTGGCTCATTTCTATAATCTCAGCACTCAGCAGATGGAAGCAGGAGCATCGCTGTAATTTTGAGGCCAGCCTGAGTTACAAAGCACGTTCAAGGCCAGCCTCAACTGCATAGTTAAACCCTGTTTCAAATGGAGAAAAAACAAAAACAAAATAAAAGAATAATTATCTGTTAAAATATACAAATACAAAAGAACTATCCCATTACATTCATACAGTAAGTTTTAAAAAAACTGTAATCTAGAATACCATTCTATGGACCTAAGATTGTATCATTAAAATTTCATGTTAAATAGAAATATGCAATTAGTGGAATGTTACCAGTGGGTGTTAGGATTGATCACCAGCACCAATCACGGTCATTCTGCTTCATTATTTGTTTCCACAAGGTGCTCTTAGCCAATGTCCTTCTGAAAATGTGATAGATCTGAAAATTGTCTGCCCCCACCCCACCATAAACCCTTTAATCAAATTATAAGAGCAAGGAAAAGAGTAAAAAGAAAAGCCCACCCAGTTTAGGTCAGTGGTGATCATACTTCTGCGCACATCGGGCTCATCTGGAGTTCATCACACACAGAGTACTGAGCCACATTCTGAGTTTCTGGTTCCCAACCTGGGAATGTTGTGCCTAAACAGAGAAGCCTGCATCAGCGGGGCACCAGCAGGCTGAAGAGCAGAGGCCTTCTGAGCCAGGGTGCAGAGCTCCAGGATCACACACACCCAAGGGGACACAGGGGACACATGAGGACAGCAAACAGTCTTCTCCAGTTAGCATCTGTGTAGACTGCTCAGTGCCCAGGCTAGATAGTTGTGCGGTTCAAATAGAAAGCCCTTGAAATTTGAATCATCCTAGAAATAATAAAAATTTACTGTTAGAGGGAATCTTCTGCCAGGATCAGGTAGAATTTATAGCAGAGGGGTTAATAAAAATTCAACATAAGTGATAGTCTCTTTGCAACACAACTGGAAGCCACCTCAAATAAATATAGGCTCTTCAGTGAAAATAATATTTTTGCTATAGGTTGAGTCCTCCGGGTCCATCTCCCAACCAAATGGCTATCCCAGAGGCCTTCCTGTAAAGATGGCCCATTCTGTTCTCACAGAGAGAGGTCACACCTGGAACTCTAAACAGGAGGAGTTGTCTCCATGGAAATCTATGTGTCCAGTCCTGCTGAAAACACTCAGTTCCACCCAGGGATACCAGGGCTCTTTGATGATCTTCCTTCACTCCATGCAACACCTAGGAGAGCAAATGACCACAGGGAGAAGGAGACGGGTTCCAAAGTGATAAAGTTTTGAACTGGAATGACTTGGAAACTGTGGACTTTGAGCAGTGTTACTGGAAATTGGCTAAGGTTTTCTTCTGCTCTCAGATGAGTCAGGAGTTGAGGCAGCAATTTACTAGAAAATACCGCCACACTTCAGTGCACCTGACTCTGCCCTAGGTGTGGCTTAGTCCGGATATAGCAGGACAGTTGCATGCTGAGCAGATTTTGACAGCATTTTCCAAGATGGACAGGATTAAGAAGTATTCTATAACATAGCAGGGGAATCAGGAAGACTGGGAATTAAGTAACTGGAATAAAAAAGGGTTTCACCTAAAGGAAACATTAAATAAATCTTGGTAAAGAGAAGAAAAAAAAAGAAGGATCAAAGTGATTTGATGTGTTATCCATGCATAGATGTTTCATCCATGCACTGTCTTTGAGAATGGCATGTCTGCCTGGCATCACGCTACTCAAATGTGCGTAGTGGTGTACTGGGGCCAGAGGAGGTGCACAAGATAAGCACAGCTTTTTCTTCTAAGTGTACCTGACTTGCACTGGCACAGAGGATTTTGAGGTCATGTCCACAGAAAGATAAAAACATAAGAATGATACCATAGCAAGTTAACAAGCACGATAGGGAATGTCTTTGTGAGTCTTTGGCACAAAAGAAGAGTTGAGACCATAAACTGGAGCGATCGTTCCAGGAGTAAAAGAAAAGGTAAGTTAGGAGGCAGGGGGTGACCTGATGGCACCGACCATCAACGTGACCACTCTCAGCTGACTCAGTTTGCAGTCTCTGTCCGATCCCATTTGGAATTTAGAAGAAGATACATTGCTTCTGGACAAAGCGATATAGTGTGATTTGTAAATATAAACTTATTACAGATAGATAACGTGGATTAAAACTAATGTTTTCTTTGTTTTTCAGTCTCTTCATCTTATTATGCAAAACTGAATATTCCAGTCACTTAAAATGTTTTAAATGAAGCTTTGGATCAAAGCTTAGCCATTAAATCATCTAAGTAATACATGCAGAGATCTGTTTTTCTTAAGTTGTAAAGACCAATTTTGATTAATGAAACTTGTAAAGATTTTATGTAATGATGGCTTCTACCTACTCCATGAATGTAATATCTTAGAATGGCAAATATTTGTGTCTTTTTCAAGGATTACTAGAAATCAACTAACAAAATCAAACATTTAAGAAAAAGAAGGTGTGTTTCCCAGGCTACAAGCATCTCATTGCTTATTTAAAAAAAAAAACACACAAACTTTTAAAAAGTAGATGTGAAAATATCATTTGGATGTGGGGAATATCTTGAATTCATATTTTGAAAGTAACTCCAGGATTTTAACTGCACTAATATAATGGTAGCACATATCATCTTTTGCTATCAGGCAAGATTGGTCCCAAGTCCAGAGGTGGAAAATGAGATGGGGAAAGTAAATGTAACCTTAAATAAAGAGCACCATCCGATTCATAGAAATATTTTCAAAAGGATTTTTGTCATTTCCTCAATCTTTATCAAGTTTCTGTTGGTTCAACTTGCCCAAAATGAAACTTTCTGCCCAAATATACTTCAAAAAACATTCTAAAAATGAGTGGTTAACTAATGATGTTAAAAATTGTACCAAATGAAATAGAATGATCTAACTTTGAAAAAATGAATGATTATCAAGGAGAACAGAAATGCTTTCAATAGAAATTAGTTGCCATAGCAGTGCAACTAAGACAGCCAGGAAAAGGAAGAGGGGGCCAGGGATTTAGCTCAGTAGCACAAGCACCTGCCTGGCAAACATGAGGTCATGAGTTCAATCCCAGGCACAAAAAAAAGGGAAGAATACGAATGGGTACTAAAATCTCTGCTTCATCGGAAAACTGTTTCTGGTGAAATGAACCATGATCAATGGAAAAATGGAAGTGAAATATATCAGGACTGATAAAAAATATGCGTGTAAGTAAAAACTTATCATAGTAAAAGGCACATTGCATTAATTCCCCAAAAATGCTCCCACTCACTTCACACAGACTTATCCCCTTGCTCCTGACACTTTCTGAAGCACTTCTGGAAATCTTGTATCATGAGTGTCTGCACAAGGTGGATCAAAAATACACTGAGCAATGCTATCAAACGCAGTCGAACAAAAAGGCAGGCTCATAAAAACATTACCATGTGTCCTTAACCACTTTATTCACCAGATCTGGCAGCATGTGACTTCTTGCTCTTCCTCAAGTTCAAAATGACCATGAAAGGTAAATATTCTGAATCAATTTGAGACACGGAGGCAGCCATGACAGTGCATCTAAGACAGTCATGGAAAGGACTTCCAGAACTTCTCAGAAAGTGGTAAGAACCAAGTGGTAAGTGTGTTCGAAGCAAGAAGTATTCTGAAAAAAAGTAATGGAAATGTGTCTTTTACTGTAATAAAGATTTTAATTTCAATACATGCACTGGTTCATGGAAACTACATCGTTGGGTGGAGCAGTGTTGCTTGTGAACAGACTTACTAAGTAGACTCAACTTATTTACACTCTAAATTGATCAAATCATGAAAAAGTTTAGACTACAGGAAAAAAACAGTAAAATTTGCTGATTTTCAAAATCTTTCTCCACTACTTAATGTGCTGTAAGAAATGAGGCATTTATAAGTATTCTTCATTAATTCCTGCATCACAGGCTGTTGATATTGAACACTCAAGTACTTACGTCCATTAAAATTCTGAGACTATCTTGAAAATATGTACTGTTGGCAGTGTTATTAAGATAAGAAAAACAGCCCTTCCCTGAAATAAGGCTGGTGGCTTGTTCCATTTGTTGTAATTACACCAGAGAATCTCATCATCAGTAACTGTGTCTTTTTCAATGTCTGCTGCAGTTCAGTAATCCTCATTATTCGTGTAATCAAATGAGCAGACTTTCCTTTCTTTCATATTCTTTTGTATCCTCAAATAATTTTGTAGTTTTCAACACTTCAACTATTTTTGGTGAGGAAATTTTGATCAAGAAAGTTAATAAAGCAGGTCTGGGAATATAGCTCAACTGTGCAGTAAATTCCTGGCAAGTACAAGGTCCCCAGCTTGACTCCTGACACTGACAGAGAGAGAGAGAGAGAGTTAAAGAGATGACAATATGTAGATTATTTTTTTCTGAGAAGAATATTCCATGGTAAATTAATAATAGAAATAAGTTTGATATTTAATTTACCTTAGTGTGTAATAAAAATTAAAAAGTGGTAATAATTGATAATGGTCTAATTTAGAAGAATTGTGTTATTTTTAATGAATATAAAATACCCACAGTGGTATGATTTCAGCAAAACACCAGGCTTGAGGATTGTTTCTGGTATTCAAACACACACATGCACACCCATCACTCCCACGTTTTTGAAACTTTGGGTTTACCTTCTCCCACTATTTTCACAGTGTGATGAGAGAATGTAGGGTAATTTAATACTGGCACAAAAAAAGCTTTATTTGGGAGGTAAACTACCATGGGGTTGTGATACAGTGTCATCTGCTAATGGCTTGGATTTGCAATCAGGTAGTATAAATAGTGTGTTGGCATATACGGCCGAAAGATCATCATTGCTTGAGTGCCTAAGCAGTGAAACACATATGAATAACATATATACCAATTAAGGATAGACCACAAAAATAAATAAAACACTGAATTCCAAAGCAGCAACGCACTTAAGGCAACATATTGGCATCAGATGACAAACTTATTTTATGGAAACGCATTTTAACAATTGCTCAGAATCTATAAATACTACATTTGAATGGGATAGGCGGATGGAGCATCATGTCTTCAGGAATTGAGAAGGTTGCCTACGGATTTGACTGGAGATTACGAAACCTTCAGCAGAGTGTGGAGATGTTCCCAGGGCTCTCTCTTCTTGTTGGCCTTTTCATACGAGGACTGTTTGTAGAGAGGGATCAGGCCAGGCCTTTCTGGCATATTCTAGAAGAAGAATATATAAGTAAATATATATAAGGGAAATTTTTGGTTTTCCTATGTATTCAAGAACCATATTTATTTTTCTAATAGTACTCTATATTACATTGAATTGGAACCTCACTCGGTACTAATTCTCTGAAGTATAATTTTCCCTACATTAGAATTTCCCAATCATTAGCCACCTAGCGTGAGGTAAGTACATTAAATGCTGACTGCCCGGACAAAATTGTCCTGATTCCTTTTGGCTCCTGAAGAATCATGAGCAAGCAAGCAAATTACCAGCCACTGATCGTGCAAGAAGGTTAAAAAGTTGGAGATTGATTTCAATTTGATCAGTTTCCTAATTACTTCCAAACTCATTTCTTCATTTTGCCTTCAAATTTGTGAAAGGCATTTATATGCATTTCAGGTTAATTCTGAATTTTAACAGGAGTAAGGATACAGAAAAACACTTACCTAGAAACATTAATTACAATATGAAATAATGAACAGTTGGAACCTCAAAAGCCGTTTCCAAAAGAAAGGAAAATCTTAATATTTTACAAGTTTACTGCATACTAAGCCCTTGCACTAAGCATGTTATGGGGATTATTTTCTCTAATCTTCACAACCATCTTATGAATTTGATAAAATTACTACTCCACACTATAGACAAGGTGCCCAAAGTTGGGCTACATTAAGTAGATAACTTACTTGCAGTCCGGTAACCTAGAAGTGATGGGACCTTATCTGAATTTAGGCAGATTTTCCCCCCAACTGATGGTTTGTTTGTAGGTTTTGTTTTTGCAGTACTGGGAGCTAAACCCAGGACATTCACACCGCACTATATTTCTGGTTCTTTTTATTTTTCTTTTAAAAATTTTTATTGTGAGACAGGATCTTACTAAGTTGCTATATTGACCAGGCTGGGCTCAAATTTGCAATCTTCCTGCCTCAGCCTTCCAGAGTCTAGGATTGCGAGGGTATGCCATCTCCAGGTATTCTTAACCATTAATAGCTACCTAGAAGTGCCTCCATTCCT